GGCAGCAGCTGCAGCTGCTGCAACAGCAACCATACCAACACCAGCAGCTGAGCCACTGTTGGTATTAATGAGTCCTCCTCTCCCCCTCAAAATATCAGATTGCCTGTAAATGAACTCCTTAACTGATATTAAATCTTCTTTGCTTGAACTTTGACCATGGCTTTCGAGCAGAAGAGAATCTGAGGTTGCTTTTCCATTTAAGACATCTTCAACAAGTCCACTGGCAAACTCAAGAGACTCGCCTCTTTGATTTGAAAACCGGTCTAACAAGACAACTGTCCTTGATGCATCAAGTGAAAACAGAGGTGCAGAAGTTGAGGTACCCCCAGTTCTCACACCCGAATGAGTTATTTCGGAGCCTGACAACGTCCTACATTTCTTAATCAGAAAGCGAATTTGTGCTTCAAGAGACAACTGTAGTTTCTTCCTAAACCCACCTTCAGATCGACTTGCAGGGCGTGCCAGCACAACTACCGAACCAGAACCTTTAGCAGGCAAGTTTCCCTTGGTTACACCACTCAAACTAGAAGATTGACTAACTGAAGAGACATCTGAAGACTCCTCCCCATTTGCACTGGAATTTGATAAATTGGAGAAGTCATCTACGAATACAAACAGTGTAACAGGTATGCACTGTCCTGGAAACAAAGAAGCATAAGAACCTAAACCTGACATGAGAGATATGGCCGACACATTGCGACTCAAGTTACCACCACCTCTACCTGGAGAAGAATTGTTCGCTGCCGAAGCAGCAGGTCGGGAGGATGACGTAGGATGCGACCTAGAGGGTAAAGGCGGCATAGTTTGGGATCTAACAAATGGAGCCATAGCATGCTTGGCTGCTTGCAGGACACGAAAATTCCTTAAACTCCTAGTACCAAAATGTGACCCCTCCTCAATATATATGATAACATGACAAACCTGCGTTTCTAAGTCGTCAATTACACCATCAACTACGCACAATTTAAAATCAAAAGTATACATAAGACGCACACTGCAATTTCAAAAAACTAGCCACAACATTAAAATCGAACTTCCTAAATCCACTCAAGATTAACAGTCTAATCTATTTCATAATATAAAATCGGTAAACCTACTCTAATTCTGCAAACTTAGCACAATGAAGACATTATCAAAACTTCTTTGACAATAATTCAGACGGTAAGATTAGGTTATTGACACTGTAATGTTTTTTCAGAAGAGTGAAGAAAATGACTTACAGAGAACATGAAAAGCATTCCCCGGAGATCACCGAACTCGTGCTCCTCGACAGCGGAGTCGAACCCCGGCGGCGCGGCGTCATCATCGGCGTGAATCGAGGGACAGAGAGTAGAAGAGAACTGAAGGAACAAAATCCCCTTATCGTGGTCGTGAAAGTAGCTGATTCTCCTCCGCCTGAACCACTCCCTGGCTTCCTCATCGTCGACGAGCAGCGGCGTGTCGAGATTGCCGGAGGCGAAGGCGTTGGAGTCGATGACTCGGTTGAGGAGCTGCGCGGAATCGTCGTGTCGGCGGGCGACGAAGCCGACGACGACCACGCCGTCGGAGCGAGGGAGCGGCGGCGGCGGCGTAGGCGTAGGCGAGGGGCCGGCGGCGGAGGAGGAGGAGGAGGAGGAGGAGGGAGGGCGAATGAGGACTCGCACCGGAGACGGCGACGGAGAAGGAGAAGGGTTTCGTGGCTCCATCAAATATCAATGCCTTCCTTGCTCTGCCAGATTTCGATATCCAGCTAACTTCATCCCATTTTTCTTTCTTTTTTCTTTTTTTTTTAAATTTTGTTCACTTTTGGGAGTTCGCTCCGCACTCCGCAGTTTGCACTGCTATGGAACTACTTCTTGCGCTAAACGTGGACTTTCGAGTTCGAGTTCGGTCTAAAGGGTTCAACTTAAAATTCCAAGACATAAGTGAAAACTCAACCATTTACAAAATCACTCATGTCATATCTCTACTTTCATTTTATCTATTGCTGTATCTATCTAGATAGGCAAGATTTACTCATCAAAAAATAAATAAATAAACGTAAGTTATTATTTTTTCTATTTTTCATTTCAAATTTTATTTAATTTATATAATTTTTATATATAGATAGTATATATTATTGTTTAAATTTTAAATTTAAATTGTAATTCAAATTCAAATTAAATTAATAACTTTCTTTTGGTACAGAAATTAAATTAATAACTAAATTAAAAAAAAAAGTCAACCATAATATAAATAATAGAGAGTTTTTAAAAAATTTTCTTCGATGAAAAAATAATTTAAATTTTTTTAATCTAATTTAATTTTTATTTATTATAAATATTTATAAATTAAATTTTAATATTTTAAAATAAATTTTTAAAAAATAAAAATAATATTTATTATAATATAAATTATTTATCATAAATTTAAAATATAAATTATATATTTAAAAATATCTACTTATATAAAATTTAAATATAATTTATATATTCAAATATAATACTTATTTATATATATAATTTTTTATACATTTGAGTTATATATAATAAATATTTAATTTATACATTATATATTCTAAAATATTAATAAAAATTAAATAATCAATCAATTGAGGTTACAAAATGATTAAAACATTTAAACTTTAAATAGATGTCATTATTAAAAAAAGCTTAAAATCTTAATACAGTTACTTATTTTAAAATATGTATATTTTAAAGTCATGATGTACCAAAATCCTTGGATAAAAATAAATATAATGAACCTAGTGGTATATAAGAAAAGCAAATTTAAAAACTAGGCCGTAAATTGATTTCATCCGTGCGTAAAAAGAGTGGCAGAGGAAACAGATAGCTTAGCCTTAGTCAGTAGTGAGCAGTGAGTTGACAGTTGACAATGGAAGCAGCATTGGCGGCCATGGCTCTCTCACTCCAAGCTCCTCTTTTTTCCATAGCTCTTCCTGTTCCTGCCGCTACCAACAAAGCCGTAGCAGTTCTCAAGGGCAACTCTTCCGTCCAAGGCCTTGTCACGTTAACCCAACAACAAAACGGTTCATTCTCTTCCCCTCTCAACCTTAATGTCTTTCATAAACTTCCCAAACTCACTTTATACTAGAAATTAATTAAGAAAATTTTAAATAAACTTTTTATAAGTTATAACTCTTACTAATTTTGGCAGTTTTGGTACACCGGAAAAAAAAAAAAAAAAAAAAAAAAGTATTTCTGAAAAATTAATACTTTCTTTGTTGCCTTCTCACCGTGTTATGCTATGTGATGTGTGTAGGCGCAACAACGGTTAATGTTCGTGTTTCGGGTCTTACTCCTGGCCCTCATGGTTTTCACCTCGTCAGTATCAATTGCAGCTCTTGTTATGTCGCATCACTTTTCTGTTCTAACTTGTGTTATTTCCTCATGCAGCATGAGTACGGTGATATAACAAATGGCTGCATATCAACTGGTAAGGCCTTGGTTACTTCCTATTTTTAGTCACCTTTCACATATACTATCGTTGATGAAGTCGACAAGACTAATTGTTTCTTCGATTCAAATATTGTATGTAATATTTAGGACCACATTTCAATCCTAATAAACTCACACATGGTGCTCCAAAGGATGAAATTCGCCATGCGGGTGACCTGGGAAACATAGTTGCTAATGCTGATGGTAATGTCTCTTTCTTTGGAATGCTATTTAATACTATCATCCATACATACCCTCATTTTGCTATTTTTGAAGTACAGGAGTTGCAGAAGCAACAATTGTCGACAATCAGGTGCTCCTTCTGTTTTGATATCATCATGTTGTGCAGTACAACCCTTGCTCTTTATGTCTGCGGGTCTGAATTTCAGCTCATACTTTTAAGAACTATGGTTTCTTTTTTGGTTGTATTGAACAAATTACAATTGGCAGCCCATGTGAGTGTGTGCTTGTTTTGTTTTTTTTTTCAAAATTCACACTATCTCTGCCTTATTAACTTTCCAATAGCTCCCTTAATTGTTTGAAATATATTATATTGACACCCTATTATTACCCAAGAAACACATTACATCTTGCATCCCTATGAAGGGATTACTGTAGGTAACGTGAATTTCGAAGAAATCATAGAGGGTGTAAATATAATTTGTTCTATTGTATTTGTTAGATTAATGAGGTGTTTGTGCCTAAAATGTGCAGATACCACTCATTGGACCTAATTCAGTAGTTGGAAGGGCCTTTGTTGTTCATGAGCTTGAGGATGACCTTGGAAAGGGTTAGCTCCAAGCAATAACTTTTTGAATGTATATTTATGTTTGCTTACAACTCTGCTATAGTCTACGGAGAAAATCACTGTTACAAGTTTCAGCACTTCTATTTTAGCCAATTAAACAGGAGATGAATGTGCAAATGATGCATGCTTATAACAGAGGAAGAATGTCATGACATGAACATGAGATTGATTTTTCCTATTCCAGCTATCATTTTATATCTCATAATACTGCAATTTTGGACTTGTATAGTAGATTTCATTCGTGTTCAATCATTATTGAAGCATTTTACTTTACTCTCATTTGTATTTGCTTATATTTTTGTAGGCGGGCAGGAACTTAGTTTGAGCACTGGAAATGCTGGTGGAAGATTGGCATGTGGTATGAAAAAAAATAATAATAATAATTCTGTTCTTTCTAAATTCATCAATCCATCCATTCAGATATGATTATATCTTATTTGATTCACTTTTTGCTTTAATGTTAAGGATGACTAAATTTCTATAACCTTGATACTAATTTTATTCCTTTGATAGAATGCCCAATGACTCAAAAAATGTTTCCAAAAAATATGCATGGTGCCTATATGATTAAAACTAATATGTGATTTTCAAAAGTCAGTTGTGCATACCACTCTACTAAATAAATTGGGTCCTGGTATAACACATATTTTTTAGTGGAGTATGTCTAGATAAATTTACTCTTAGAGTAAGTGAATTCTTCATATATATATATATATATGTATATCTGTGTGTGTGTGTATTAGTACATTCTCATATTGGATGTAGAGAGATGGCTAGAGGTCTTGATAAAAAACATCTATCTACCTATGATATTAGAGACTTGCAGTATGATATAGATATGTGACTATGGGAGTGTTCAATAAAAGTAAGATGAATATATATCAAGTTCCCTTTTACTCGTTCCTTTTAAAAAGAAGAGTTATTTAGAAATTAAACTCTTAAATCTCAATTAAATTTGCATAGAGTCTTCACCTAAGATTTGGTGTGGATAATCTTTGTCTGCTTATAGATGATTATCTTCTCCGAGGCATGGAAAATCTCATTTCATAATCTAATTCAGAAAATTGCTGCTTATTTTGGATGTCTGCAATTGTCTGAATTTAGTAAATCTCTGTATTATAAGCTTAATGCTTCTCCTTGTTAAATTGTTAATAACATCCCTGTTTGGCTTTCTTGTTTGCAGGTGTGGTTGGTTTGACTCCAGTGTAAATGCAACAAATGTTTTTGGAGCAGTTGTGTTTTATCTGTTTTTTGCTTTCATCAATTTACCCATGTAAGCTCTGAAACATGACATCCTTCTAAAGATGAATGCTAAATGGAATCGTGAAGGCTGAGGCACCAGAGATTTATCTCAATAAAATTATACTTCTGATGAATTTCTTGTGAATAAACCTAGTGTTAAATGTTGGTACTTCAGTATTTTCACCATGTTTTTATAGACTGATGTTTACCGAGAGTGACACTATATTGCATGTATAGAAAATGGCTTCTGTAGAGTTTGGCTTGTGTGACAGCTTAGCTATAAGGGTGCAACAGTGAGTGCAGGGATGTGCTCAAAGCCCCAAGCTTTTCAATTTTCTCTCATTAGTTTTTTTCTCTTTATTGTAAAATTTGTTATACAAATAATAGTTCTTGGTACATAAATGATTCCTAGAGTGTTTTTTTTTTTTTGCAATATTTTGATGTCAAAGGGAAGGTAATGGGGAAAGCAGTACACATTCTGAGGAATCATTCTAGTATATTTCACAAGACAAAGCGGTATGATATTGAGGCCTGTACTGGCCTTGTCCACCAGGAGTGTGGACTCAATTTTAGCATAATGGGTTGGCTTTCATAGCACAAACAGGCCTATGCCAAAACAAACTTTTTTGTGAAGCCCATAAAAAAATAATCTTATGGGCACACTGCCACCAATTTAAGACTTATACAAAACTTCTCTAATCATGGTATTGCCATTTCCAATTCTTCTAGAGAACTATCCAATACGCAATCCATTTTCTAAAGTTTTCCCGAGTGTTCCTGCTGCCACTATTATGTGTATTCGTGTTGGCTTCATATCATAATGGTTGATTGATGTATTGTAGAGTCATCCGTTTTACAACATGCCCCAGACTGGAAAATTATCAAGTTGGTCTCTGTGATGTTTAGTTAACATGCCTAACCAAACTTAATTTTGATTTAATACTTCATGATTCGTGTGTATGTGATGGTCTTGCATGAAAATGTCATGTCAAAGGAGATATGAGATGAGAAACATATGCAAGAAACTGAGGGGGAAAAAAAAAAGGAAACATAATTCAAATGTATTATCCACAAGGCAAGTAGCACTTTCAGCCCCCACGCACCTAACTTTCCCTATACATAATTAAATGTACATGTGGATTGTATACTTTCTATATTATATACTTTTGCTGAAGAACCGTCGATTTTGTGGCTTAAGAATGCTTCTGTTAGCATAATAATGAAATAATGTGGCTTTGAAAGTTTCAGCTAACTCCTTTTTCCATTATTAATTATGAGTCACCACTTCTTTCGCAAGTAACAACTTGCAGTAGTTAGCAGTTGAGCTTAGAACAGAAGCAACCTACAATTAGGTATCTACCAGTGAATACACCCAGCAGTAACTGTAACTCTTCCTTTTGTGCTAATTTAATTTTGCATTCACAAAGTTTGAAAAGAACAAATACATGTGATGCCACCTAACCTCAACCTTGTGCATATTATGGTAAAAAATATGGTTATGTTTTGTGGTGAAAATGTTTGTTCACGAGGTAGGCGTGAGAAATTAAAGTGTATAGTAGCTAAGGGAGTGAAATAGTTGTGTTATCTGGAAGCAGTGTGAACCTAACATAAGGTTGAGTCGGCACTGAGTCATTTTCGTTCAAACAAATTAAAGGTTTCATACTTTCATTTGCTGACCCGTGAGTCTCCAATTCTGCAATTACTTTCATTTAATTAATTTTATTCATATATATCATAACCTCCACCATTCAATACTCTATAGTTGATGGATTGAAACTTTTTTTCTTTGGTTTCAGTTTTCCCTTGTTATTATTGTGTGCCTAACTGCCCGAAGTGGTTGTGTGAGACACTGTCTTTATTCTGCTGAGTGTCAATTAGACAAGAACAAGTATCTTGAACAATTTTAGATAGAGAAAGGAAAACAATGCTAATCCAAAGAAAGTTTAATTGCAATAGCTGCTCATAACTTAATGGAATACTGTTGGAAAAGTGTAAAAGATTTTACATTTGTTAATTAATTTTGATGGGACTTAAAGACTAAAATCAACAAACTTATATAATATATTTTGTAATCAGATGACTGTAAAAAAAAGTTCTACACTGCGTATATTTTAAATATCTTTTGACTATTAATATTTTGGTCAATTAAAAATAGATATCAATCTTAGAAATTTCTTTTATATATCAGTAAAGGGATTATTATTTTACTTTTTTTAATTATTTTTATAAATGTTTAGGCTGATGAATGGAAACTGTAGAGATATGGCTGGTTATATAGAATCTATTAAATTAAGATTGTGTTTGTCAAAACGAGTTGCTTCACTAGCTACCAACCAAAATATTGAATAAAACAAAGATGAGTGGAGAGAGTATTTGTGTTGTGTTGTTATAATGTAAAAGTGGAGTGTTTCATGCTTAGTTGCAACAAACAGCCTTGTCTTTACCGTCATGAAATGGAGTGAGTATTAGGTTTACTGGTTTCCTTTGCCATTCTTCATGCCTTATAAAATAAGCATTGCCAAACTAATTGCTCTTCCTCTACTACAACTAATTTTAACTTTGTCTTCTTTTTATTTCCTTTTATATATAATTTAGACATCCTTAGGCTAAAAGCTAACAACTCGAGTATTGAAATTCATTTCAAGGAATTAATGTTTAAATATGAATTCAGAAATCAAACATCAGAAGATATATGTTTCCATAATAATTTATTTATCAACCATATCATACTTTATAAAAAATTTTAACTTTATCTTTTATTGCAAGTTGGATAGTGCTCGAATGGAGTGTTTTAAAATTTTAAGAAATTTGAAACGTATGAAAATTTAATTGTTTCAATTATTGTTTACTTTTAAAGATATTTTATCTAAATAAACAATTTTTTATATTTTAAGTTTTATATTTGAGTAAAATAATTCAGTATAATTCTTTATTTGAAATTTTAATGTAAAGTTTTAATGAACATAAGCATTATAACTAATTAGTATTTTTAGCTTGTACAATACATATATTAATTTTGTATTATATATGACTAAAAGTTAAAATAAATTATGTATATAAATAAATATTATGTTTGGATATATAAATTATATTTAAAATTCAAATAAATAGATATTTTAAATATATAAATTATATTTTAGATTATAATAACTAATTTATATTGTATCTGAAGGTTACTTTTATTTATTGATAATTTTAAAATATTAAAATTTGATTTATAAATAATTATAATAAATAAAAATTGAATTAAATGTGAAATTAAAAAAATTCTTACAAACTCCCTCATTTAAGAAAAGCTCCTAAAAGAAATTATTTGTGTTTTATATATACATGTTATTGTATATTTTGACATATTTCAAAAGGTTAATTTATTTATGAAATTATTTTGAATTTAAATTTTAAACAATTATTTTATTAATTACAAGTTTTAAAATCTAATTAATATTGATTTTAATAAAATATAATAATGTAATTGTTGTAGTTTTAATTAATTTTAATTATCTAATATTTTAAAATTAATTATTTTAATATTTGTGATTAATTATTATCATAGTGAATATCTTCTTCTATAAATATTGAGAATGAGTAGGAGTAAAAACACTTCTCTCTTTTCTATTCTCTCTTCTTATTAGGTTAAAACTTTGTCTTAATCTAGTCCCGAGAAAATTTAAAGAGTCCATTTTTTATCTTCTTTACACAATGTAGTGTACTTGTGCGGTCCTTTAGAACAATGCATGCTCTCTTCTTTATTCTCTATTTTCTCGGTTAAAAATTTGTCAATTATGCATCTTTAAGTTTAGTACCCGAAAAATCTTGTGTCTAGGAAATTTGTGTAGAGTCTAATCCACACGTGTAGGAAAGTCCTTTAAGATATTGTACGTCTTATTTCATACTCCCAACATACATGAACAACAATCAAAAAGACTTTTATTCTTCATGGAAATGTGCAAATCATCTGAAGCTTCCAAGGTAAAAATGTGCTGGATGTGTGAGACATTGATTGTGGGATTATACATATTCAATTAGTGCACAAGGCACGAGGTAGTGGTTATCGGGTCATGCCTCTTCTATCTTCAATGAGAGAGAGGAAAGTATGGATGGAGAGCGTGTTACCGAAAAATTCCGAGTGTTTTACCTTGCGATTGTTGAACCTTGGCCGAAGTTATGTTATCATTTTTTTAAAAAAATAATATCAAATATATTAAAAGAACTGACTGGATGGGTTAATTAATTTATGGAATAATTTATAGGCCTAACCATAAATATGTTAACGAGAATAAATAATTTTCCATCGAATTAATTAATAATAATAATGTGTGAGACATTTAATCCTATGATTGCCACGTAGAATTTGTCCGTTCATATATAAGGTTTAAAAGTTTTGGAATGCAAGGAAAGCTAGTAGATGAGTTATATCTGGATGTTTAAGATCCAAATTGTATCCTTCTTTAAACTCATGTTTTGTTTTTTTGGGAACAAATTTTGATGCATGAATGATAGTTGAACGTGGCTTGTTGTGGGGTTATACTCTATTAATTCCTGGTTGTGAATTATGTTTCTTACATAGAGTTATATGTTTGATATGCTTACTTTTTATTATTTGAACAAATATTAGAGTATATAAAAAGTTAGAAGCATATATATATATATATAGAGCATATCAAGTGAGAGGGAATTTATTATGAGAGATGAGAAGGTTAAAATATAACCCTTAGATTAATTTCCTCTCACTTGATTAAACTCCAAATTTTCTCTCACTTGATTAATCTAAGGGTTATATTTTAACTCTTTCATCTCTCATAATAAATTCTTTCTCACTTGATATGCTCCCTATATATATATATATATATATATATGAGATGGTGGTGTGTAGTGGTGGTTGGGTGGTCATTGGGTGACAACATTAATGATAATTACAACAGTGGTATAATAATGGTGCTAGAGGTGACAATGGTGGGAAAAATGGTAATAATGATAGTTGCGATAATGATTATAATAAAAACAATTATAACGGTAACAGTATGTAATAATTTTGTCTGTAATTTTAATCTGAATTGTCTAATATATATATATATATGCCTTCTTTTAAATATTTGTGTTATGCATATCATTCAGAAAAATTATATATTTTTTGAATTAAAGTTTCTTTATGAGAAAATATAAAGTGTGGTGATGAAATGAAGAAAATAAACATGAGATATCATTTAGAGGATGATGTAAGCGATTAACATTTGAGAATTTTTCAATGGTAA